AGTACCAGCGAATGTACACAGTTTGAAAGTGGCGGTAGACCTTCTCATTTGCGCTTTGACTCTCGCCACTTTCCCGGGCTTTCATACCCTCTCGCTCTCTCATCTCCACGTGAGCCTGGGAAATGGCGAGAATCAACGTGCAAACAAGAGGGAGTTCCGCCACATTTAAACAGTTTAGAATCGCTGGTACATCGTTCTAACCGGTGATACATCGTTTGAGCCGCTGCTGCACACTTCGATTCGCTGGTGCAATGCTCGTATCCCGCGATTGTTAGCGAATCGCTCGATTCGCAAGGTGCGACACCGGCCTAAAGAAGAAGGAAAAGTCATGCACAGAAGCAATCCTAATGTCCTGACGCACATTCGGTCTAACACGGTCACCGTTGGGTAAATCGTTAATTCTTCGGCATAGAACCTCGAGGTTTCGTATCATTTAAAGAACGACATTCAGATGATTTTATTATGGCTACTATTAGCAGCGGCTGAAGCTCAGGAATTGCTAAACAATCCACGATGTAATCTACCGTTGGACCGAGGAACATGTATGCAGTTCACCGTAAATTGGTACGCCTACTTTGAAAATAGTACAGCAGCAGCGGCAGCTAGATCAAATTCGTGTTTGAATTCCGCGGCCGCGTTGGCTGGAAGGCGAAGTCGTGTTAGACAAGTCCTAGGTGGAAAAGGGGTGAGGGTGGTATGACAAGTCTACACACCTCACGAGGCTCTCGATACCATCCCATTCATGACTGATCGTCTCCGCTCCTCAGCCATCACGATCAACAGCATTGAAAAGTCACAAGTAGTGTCGAATTTTCCCTCAAAGCATTTAAACTGACTAAAATATATTTTTTATGATGTACTGGCCAATGTGGTTTGGGTGTGCACACTAACGGCCTTTCATACGACGAGATTGGACAGTCTGTTCTCTCCTCCGCGAGCACTGTAGCTGCTCGTTTGAGGAATACTCACCACAGTTAAGTCTACGAGTTCCTCATGAAATTCAGCTAGTGCAGTTTTGCATTCTGAGATTTCGAGAAGCCAACTACAGCTCGCCGTGGAGCCACACTGATCAATGACCCCCGGGACATTGCAGACACTGTGGACAGTGAATGTACTGAGAAGAACTAAAACACACGCACTGGCGCAGCAGCGTACTTGGCGTGTAGTCGGTGCATTCCTACCGATCAGTTTCAATTTTGTTACCTTCTGTCTATTTTTTGATGTTCTACGTGCCGTATTGCTTCCACTCGCGTTTTGCTAGCGGAAGACTAACTAATGTGCGAAAACTTAGCATCAGTGAGCTAACCTGGAAATTTTCCGCCATCTTCTGCGCAAGTGCGCGAACAAACAATCGGGAATTATTGAAAAACTGTAACTCATACAGAAAACAAAAACTTATGCGCTAGAAAAGCACGACCGAATTGAGCGCAGCATGTTGAAAATCAAAAATAGAAGTATTGGAATTGATTTTGATCGATCGTATACATCGACTGTGTGCCAAGTGCGCCTTATGCGTCAATGCGCGTATTGATGCTCTTCGCAATTCCAGCACAGTCCGCAATGTCCAAAACGTCCGCGACGTCAGGGATTGCGAAAGCAGCCTCAGTCGAGCGTGTATCAGTGTATATCACAAGATTATATGTTCACGATAACAGGATGTATACTGTAACCCGCGTTGGCGTCGGAGTGCAGTTGCAAGCCTCCAGCGCGCAACGTAGTGCTGAGATGCGAGCGAGAGCACTCAACGAGGCTATCCCCGCTCTCCAGGGCAACAATCCAAAAATGGATCAGCGACTCAGCGGCCGCGCGCGGGCAAGGGGAGGTTATCCCCCACGTGCCGCTTCATCCTACGTGAGGCCAATCCGGCATGCGTGCCATCCTCCACCTCCTACATAACGGCGCTTGGTATAGTTGGCGAGTTTGCTCGACACATTTTCTCCTCGTTGAGAGAACGCAGAGAAAACGAGAACTGGGAGGCGAGCACGCATGGAAAATCGATGACACGTGACATTGCGCGCCCCAGTGCCAACGCCGCTACGTCGAACGTTACGGTATACCGCCTATGTTTCTGAACCTATGATCTTCTTATCAGAGCGCTCTGAGTGCACTTCATGTACACAACAATTGGCTGGGTGCTGACATTCCGTTCCATTCCAAGAAGCACCTGGAGACTGCAGCCACTGCGAGCTCCACGGCAGAGTTCGTGATTGCACTTGTGGTCGTAGTCACAGGTAAGGCAAGGGATTTTTCTGGCGCAGTGCCAGAATCGCGTGTTGGACGTAGAATTTTGTGAACTCTGCACCTAATTAGCGTGAATGGTCTCCAAAGCTGTACTGCATCCCCGAAATCGAGATTGAAAATCTACGAAAGTTGAGTTCTCAGGAGAAATTCCTTATAATTACCACGGTGAGTATGCCCGAAACGAGCGGCTTCAGTGCTTCGGAGGCTAAGACGGATGGTCCAATACCATCCTACGCAAGTGCAGTATATATTTAGTCAATTTGCATGTTTTGGTCAATTTCGCAAGGTTTTTAGACGAAATCCGACATTGCTCCTGATCCTATCTTTTGGAGATAGCAGTAGCGGTGGCCGGGAATGGAGGTGAATTGAACTACTTAATAGGCCATCAAGAGGCCTCGTGCGCTAGAGGAGCGGCGACCGTTACTCGGTGCTTTTTCTCTCACAGCATATCAATGTTGAAAGGGAAGAGGACAGACTACAGAGAATAGTGCACGAAAATTAACTCGGAAGACTTTGAACTCCTTCTAAATATGTGTATCAACCATGTGTAATAAAATAATCACCATAATATTATATACTAATGTAGGCATGTCCAACAAGTTGTGCTGTTACAGGTATTATGACAGATATGCACACAGGTGTAGAGAATTCCACTACGGAGGTTGCGAAGGAAATGATAATCGATTTAGAACGCTAGAAGGTGAAAAGTTTGATTTGTTTTCATAAGTTTTTACGCTGGAAGTATCAGTTAGTTCTCGGAGGTGCACAGCTGTTTTTAAGAATGTAATGCTGCTTGTACTTACCGACCGCCATCTAATCGAGATCGATGTTTCCAACCGCACGATCCTGGCCAATGCAATGGCGACTTTGAGCGATGGTATTTTGATGCGAATAAAAGGCAATGTGTGTGCAGGTTAGTGCAGCATAACTATCACGCGCCTTGGAATACAAAAGTTACCCATTTCTAAGGGCAAACAGAAAGAGGGATGCTAGCTGAGATAAAAACTCGAACGAAAAGCAAGGAACTGAATAAAAATAGACGTACACCGCAAAGCAATATACAAGTGTGAACGCTGTGCTGTGAACAACGCCGTTTGTGAAACGTATGCTACGACGCTCCACATTAGCCGTTATCAGTTGTATTGACCACATTTGTGTGTTCGCCTCGTCCCACATAACGTATACATCCTAGAGTCAATGCGAACAGCGTAACGAACTCGATGGCATTAGCAATCCAACGCCTGTATCAGTCCTTATCACTTCACGTTCGCTTTATATGACCAAAAATGTTTTTCTCCGCGCATCCCTTCCCTACATAACACTTATGAGTGCACATACTCTGGCGTCAACGCGAACGGTGTCACGAAATTGGTAGCGTCGGCAAATTGAAATGAAATTGGCAGCGTGAACGCTCACAAAGTCTCTATCTAGAGAGCCGGGAGCCAAGAGCATAAATAAAGTTGACCACGGATTCGAAGCGGGAAAATGAGAATTTAAGAGCTCCTTGAGCACTTCAATTTCCCCAGTTTTGCCTGGATACACTCCTCGATGAGTTCTACAATAAGCAGCAGGAGCGATCGCAAAAGTGAGCACACAGCACTTTCTCTGATAAAGCGTTTTCATGCTGCTACCGTCCAGTATAAGGGCTAATATTCCGAACTAATTAGTTATAAATGCTCCACCATTTGTGTGCATTGCATAAGTGGAGGATTTCCTCATTTGTATTACATGCACACCGTAGCTGAATAGCGTTAGAGACATGAGAAATTCTGAAGAAACTTTAGGATGGCATAAGCAATTGACGCGGCCCATTTTCTTCAAAAGAACAGAGCAATTCAAATCCACGCGTTAACCAAAATCAAACAACACCATTCTTAGTTTTCCGACACGCCGAAAACGATGGTTGCTATGCCGATTTACGAAATTTCCAAATAAGTCAGAAAACTGAAAAAATCAGGGGTGGCATATACAATTGACGCGCACTGTATTAATGTGCTGAATTTGTTATAATAATAATTATTTTGTTTTCAGCTGGTGGTCAGGCTGTGGAGGCAACTCAAACTTATTCTATTCCTATAAACACTGTATGCTTATTTGTGGCGAATTCGCAGTAGGAGGTGCAGGTGTCGACGACAAATACATGAACGTAATCTTTTCACCAATCATAATGTACGAAAGTGTGCTGTCTCAGTGTGTTCGCGCTATTTAGAGAACATATACAATTCGAGGACGCCCAGGAATCAGTCCTGGAATGAGAACTCATACAGAAACTACCATGATATGGTACCAACCTGCCTACCCGCCTTATAGTGTGCCTGGTCAAGCGCCACAACAGGTCGTCCAACGTCCTGGGCCTCAAGTCACCTTTATCCACCAAGGATATCCGCAACCACAGTCGGACAGAGGGCAACCTCAGCAAGTTCAGCATGGCTATGCGCCGTCAGCCGATGGATATGGTCGACCTCAGCAACCTCAGCAAGTTCAGCATGGCTATGCACCATCAGCCGGAGGATATAGTCGACCTCAGCAACCTCAGCAAGTTCAGCATGGCTATGCCCATCAGCCGGAGGATACAGTCGACCTCAACAACCTCAGCAAGTCCAGTATCCTCAAGGGCAGTACCAGCATGAACAACAGCAACAGCAATACCAGCAACAGCGTCAACAGGTACGGTTGCTGCTACCGAAATGATCGTATTTCGAAGCTAGCACCAGCATGATCAAACTTATTGCATGCAATTAGGCAACAATAAGGATTGAAAAGTACACAAAATTGAAGTTGAAGTTACGCCAATCGACTTCAACCGAGCACAAAAGGATAGCGAATCACGTATCTGATAAATAGTGTCGGAGTAGGCTTTTTTGCGTGTGCCGATAACTGATCGGTTCCGAGGTCACAGCAGGCTTAATTGGCTCGAGCAACATCCAGTCATTAACAATGCGCAGATGACGCTCTCTGCACCACCTTCGCTCGTCACTCACATGGTTTTAGCATGGCCCTTACAAGTATGACTACTTTCAGCCCAAGGAGTGGTATATTAGCTTAATTTAAATTCAAAAATAGAAGGAGAAGAAATTTGGTGAAAAGTCCAAAAATGGCGTGTACGCACTAGGTGTTGTATTCTGTATGATTGGCTGCAAAAAGCAACAATTTCTAGGTTCCAAAATAGTGGAAAGTGAAAACTTAGTCCCACTCTTCACTGTATGTAGCTTCATTCCTATGAAAGCGCTGTCAGAAACGAAGCCATTGTAATCTGCAATTTCAAGTGCAAGGAATTGAATTAATTCAAAAAATAATCGCGGCAGGACAACAAAAACACCGAATAATGGCAATATCGAATGTAACTGTAGAGATCCGAAGTAGTAAAGGTTGCAGCGTTTTACAGTAAGGTTACAATTTCTTATTTAGCCTGAAATTTTGAATCTGTTTTCTGCCGTATTTTCTTGCGCTCCTTCAAATGTGTCTTAGAACTTGCACGTTGTATGTGGCATCTCAAGAAAGATCATACGCTCGCTGCCTCATGAGTCATATTGATGAAACTTGAATCGTAGTGTCGAATTGTTGAGGGAATAGTGGTGGAATGTTAACGATTCCGATAGTATAAACTTCTGTCAATGTGGTAGAGGTATCCACTGTATACGCATGTCCATAGATAACATTTGAATCGAATTAGCTCACTGACAAAACTTCAGCCACAGCCTCATGAAAGGGGATCATAGTTGAAAAGCAGTTTAGTTACAGTACATATTGCTGCAGTGAAGATGTTGCAGGAAGAAGCTGTCCGCCAAGAAGAGCAAAGGAGACAGGAAGAAATGAGAAGACAAGAAGAGCAAAGAAGATATGATGAACAAAGAAGGCATGAAGAACTGAGAAGACATGAAGAATCGAGAAGACAGGAGGAAATGAGAAGACAGGAAGAAATGAGAAGACAAGAAGAAATGAGAAGGCAACAAGAAGAGTATCACAGACGTGCCTCACAAACACAAACCTCCGGTTATCGAACTGCTGGTAGTTCTCCCGGCGTAGCCGATTACAGGAGATCAGGTTAGCAATACTTGTTCATGAAATTATTGTATTCCCATGTATTCATGAAATAGTTTCGGAGCTAAAATTGTTAAGAGGGATAAATGTAGAGTAAAACTAATAATTCGGATCTGCAAGAATTACTACCCACGACCTGTAAGTTATCTTTAAACCGGCACGGGACACTCTTAACGCAGCAGTGGCCTACTGAGCGGGTTTGTTTGTCTGTTCGACAGGAGAAAGCGCTAAAACTTCTGGGATACCCAGAGAGTTGGACGTGAAAATTGATGATGGGTACTGGAAGTGATTCCCACTGATAGTGATGACGGACGTCGTAATACCGACGTCACCAACTTCGTTACGCAGTTTGCGTTGATACTGTAGAGATTGCACTTTTAAGAATTATGTGGTGTGGGAAGGGGACTCAAATAGAGAGCAATAGAAGGTGATAGCAAGTGACAACAGCGAAAGTGGGCCGGAATGCCGCCACAAGTTTCGTCACGCCCTTCGCAAGACAGTAACATGTTTTTGCTGACACTTTTACAGACATTAGCTCCTACATATGGTATAGGCGATCGGACGGGAACACGGATGGCAGGTGATTAGAAGTGATAATAGTGCATAATGGCTAAGGAAGTTTACAATTTGAGCATCAATCAACCGTCAATTTCTTTGTTGTCTTCGCGGTGACATATCTTACATGCTGCATAGGGGTCAGACGTATTGGTGGTGAGCAGTGTGAACTGAGAACAAGTGATGAGGACTTATAATTGGCATATGAATGGAAATGTCTCCATCCTCGTTGGAACCACCACTGGCAGAGACCAAGGGCGGGGTGTTGATGGTGAGTGACAGGAAGTGCTAATGTGCGAATGTATTGATAAAAGTGATTACAATTGCGTGTGCACTCAGACGAACTAAACTGGGTGCTGAGCAAGTGATCATGTTCTATTTATAATCCTTCACCATGAGAATAGAAAGTTATATGCCTATCCGCACTTGAGCTTAAGGTGAATTCCCATCAATGTTTTGCATTACATGCTCAGCGATTGGTCACATTTCATTCCTGCAGCAATGAAAATAGCGAAAAATACCAAACCGCCAAATTAACCGAGTTCGATATCAAGCTAAATGTTTGTGAAGTTAGGAAGAAGTACAGGTTCCACTGCGCATTCGACTGCGCGCGCTATGCGATAATTTGCAGTGAAGTGGGGCAAACATTGGACTCAGTTCAACGCATTTTTTCAAAGCATTTTCACTAATGGTTTCTCAGTCAAGTTCTATAGGTTGTCCAGGTCCACCGAAGCCTACCATGTGATGCACATGGTTGCATCGCTAGAGCTGAACTGGTTGATACATGAAAACACATCTGCACTGTCTGGATGTAGATATCTTATCTGATTGGTCGAAAATACAGGGTCTTCCTACCAGTCAAGCCGTCGAACGAACCTTCTGATGAGCGATATAGGCTTCAGTAAACAACAGTTGATCATTGCCGTTTTCATTAGTTGCTAACGTTTTAAGTTAGAGATCATTTGTGATTTTAATTTACATTTGCTTGACACTAGTATCACATGAATTTTCAGCATGTGCAGCACCAGTGGCATCAGGGTGAGCCAACGCCAGAACAATACGCGGAGTTCAGAAGTTCAACTGCACACAGCTCACACAGTGCACACAGCTCTTCGTTACAGTCCGGCTATCAATACAGCTCCCCGGCTGCAGGCCGTCGTTCTGGATATCAGAGACCAAAAACAGTCCAGCGCGCTCATGGAGAGCGAATTTATCGGTAGATCCATTGAAATTACCTGACATAGCTTCAAGCAAACTTGGTGTATCACTACGAACGCCTTTCATTTCTAACAGAGTTGGAAGTTAAACGTGTTGCTCATGAATAAAACCTTTGAGGATTTTACGTACATAGGGTTTCAATTCATTAAGCGTTCACTCAGCGCAAAAGATCGCAAATATAACAACCTTAAATTTGAAGGAATAGAATCAACACAAACTTCTGATGAAGTCGTATTCCTAGTATAATAAGCCTGATAAAATAGAATTTAAAAAAATATTTGAAGTCCCAAAGGTGCCAGTAACCACCAAACCATGATTCATTACTGCAGTTTCATTAGTCTGAGTCAAAAACAAAGGCAGTTAGTCGAGTGGCGTTTAGTGTAGCTTGGCTCGACTTTTCTGTGAGGATTTCTTATGAAATTTCTCATAAATAATCGATGATCTGGTAATATTTTCACAGTTACGAGGTACTGGCTGGGCCATCACCTCAAAGTTAGGAGGGTGGAGCTAGCACAAGAGGTGAACCCACGCAAAGTTTAGAAAAGTGATCGAAAATCGGGAAAAAAGTAGGGTAAGTGACAGCCGTCATACACAATTCCGCAGTTTCACACACTTTCATGAGTAGCTGTTCTAGAACTCAATGAACAAAAATCAAAAATGCCAAAGAAAAGTAGGAACATGACCAGTCACGAACAAATTCCTAATCATTTGCTCGGAACTGCGAAACTGCAGGTACTCCAAATTGTATTTAACAACAATCAGCTGCTATAGAGTTATTACACTGTTCTCAACAATAAAGTCTGAGAATTAGGATATCATGTGTCCGATTCAATTTTTCAAATTTAATATTCACAATTATCAAGCATGCCAAAATGTCCGATTGAGGCAATTTTTATTGTATTATATGGCCTTCATCATGTCATCTAAATATGAACAACACCTTTGGCAGTCCGTTTTGTCAGCATATGAGATTCATCCAAGCTCGTGATCACAGCATACTGGCCAGAATGGCCACCTCGCCAGCACAAACTAGAAATTGTTCACTGCAAAAAATCAAGGGGAAAGGATATTTAAGAGCTAGGTCTGCCAAACAAGTAGGCCTGGCTACTATTCCTATATCTTATGCGGCTAACGTAAGGCTTCTTTTATATGGCATAGCATATTGGAGAACATTCTAAAAGCATCTATGTAGTGTTGAAGCAAAATACCACTAAGAGTACCGGAATCAAACCTAGAATGGAAAGTTAAGACTTATAAATCTCACTAGATAGCTATTAATTTTGCTGGTGTTCGAATTGTGATGCTCCAAAAACAAAATTAGGCGTGCTTCAGATGAGGTGAATAGCAGTATATTTTTCGTAGCAAGGCCGATGGATTACACAATAAGTGAGTCACACTAAAGACTCGCACCGCAATTTTAGCGGCCAGAACCAATCAAGCTCAAAACTTCACATAGACATCTTTGTCTGCTCAAAAAATTATGCACTCGAAATATGACTGTCGTAGTGCTTTGGTAGTATGGCACTGCGTCGGATTTTGTCATATTGAAAGTTCCATAGAGAATAGCTCCCAAAATGGACCATTTTTACAGATACGACACGGGTCCTATCCAAAGGCGTCATCCCAATGGAACAATAACTGTAAATCGGCAAGTTATATTCTACACTGGAAGCCATCCTCCCAGGATGGATTTCATACAGGTATTTAGAACGAGAGCAGTCGTGTGTCTTTGTCGATTCAAGATTGGATAAACTGTCAATGATTTCTATTTCCAGCAGCTTCCTGGGCTACTCGATTTTAGTCGTGCGCAATTTGTTCCTCCAACTCCTCCACCAGCTCCTCAAACAACGACAATGCCTTCGCTTTTGCGGCGACGTCTGAAACAGCTTATGAAAAAGAAAATTCCTCCGAGGAGAATACGTCCTCAAACAACTCCGAACATATCCTCTGTGGGTGACTCGAAAACCGAGGACAGGCACCTTGTTGAATGGAGGGGTGGTTCGCTGCCTACAGTAGTTGTTCCATTAAGGGACAATCATCAAGAGCTAGCACAATCTAGACAACACCAGACGGAATGGCGCGACCAGCCTAATCCAAAACGTCAAAACAGTCTCAGTAATGCGGAAACCGCTAGATCCACGGAAGGTCGATTCATTGTCACCTATTCCCCTAGTGCTCCGCCGAGAAGTGCTAGTCATGAAATCATACAGGCCACAGAGCCTCCGGACTCGCCGCAGTAATTGGCAGGGTAACCCTACCATACGCCCTCGAGATAATCCTACTCCTCCCTCAGTAATTCCTCGCCGCCCGTCACCCACCGACATCTATGCTCGCCCTACAGATGATGGTCAGCGCCCGGCTGATGTCGCTGCTTCAACTGGAATCCAGAGAACTGCTGTCACTACGGCCATGCCCGCACAAGCACATCGACGGCAACCTGATCACGAGGATAATATCCGGTGAGATACATCATGTACGTGGATTTCATATAGGGTTTATAATGTCCATGCCTTTTTGACTTTACCTGAAGGGAATGCTCATAGGCCAAGCGAGCCATCGATTACACGTCCGAAAGTGGACTTCGATGAAGTAATGGCGATTGATTCCCAAGTTGAAGACGACTATGAGGAGCCTGTGGATGATCTGAGTGATAGCGACATGTACATCGGCTCTGTAGAGGTTTAT